TTTTAGTAATGTCCGAGAACTAAATAAATATGCATGAAGTTTCTCGAAACCCTAGATTGCTGCTAAACACTCCTCTATTATGGAGTAGTTCACCTTTGCCGGTTGTAATGTACGGTTGATGTATGTAATGTGCTAACTAGGCATACTTAGGCTTTTTTGCACCTCCAAGACCAATATTAGAAGCATCCATATGCAAAATGAAAGGTTGAGTGTAATTAGGATACATCAAAATTGGAGGAGTTGTCAATATCTCTTTGAGATCTATGAATGCTTACTCACAATCCGTAGGCCAAATGAAAGATGACGTTAACAACTTCAACAACGCTCGCAATAATGTAGTGTGATCAGAAAAATGATCCACAAAATGACCGAGATACTACACCTTGCTCAGGAAGTGCTACACATCATTCATACACTTCGGATTATGAAACTTTAGAATAGCCACAAATTTGTCAGGATCAACTTGCAAACCCTCCTGAGAAATATGGTACCCAAGATAAGTTGTGTCCTTGGATCCAAATACGCACTTCGACTACTTCAACTTTAAACCAACGTCCTATGGCCGATCCAACACTTTACAAATATCATGAACGTGTTCCTCCCATGTCCCCTCCGAGTGGATCAAGACATCATCAATAAAGTCAGCAGTCACCTTCAGCATATCATAAAGAACTTTGTCCATTATTCGCTGGAAAGTTGTTGGAGCATTGTTCAAACCAAGCATTACTAAGAACTTGTACAAACCAAACGGTGTATGAAAAACAGTCTTAAGAATATCTTTTTCTGCCATCGGTACTTGCTAGTACCCAAAAGCAAGATCTAGCAACGATCTAAGAGATCAGCAGTGTGAGGAAGAGGTACACATCTGGGATTATCACTTTGTTTAATGGATGATAGTTGATGCAGAAACAAATACTCCCATCAGGCTTCGTCATAAGATGAGGTTCACATGCCTAAGAACTCCATGACTTTTGAATAACACCCTTTTTCAACATCTCCTTAACGTTTGCATGTAAAATCTTGATTTCTTTGAGGGACCAACGATGAACAAAAACCTTGATTGGATGAGCACCCTCAGTTGGAATTGAATGACATGTGGCAATCTTGGCCCCAAATGATAGGTCAAATTCAAAGAGATCGGCATACTCTTTCATGAGCTAGTCAATCGCTACAACACAAAGACTGTCAGAGGGATTGGAAAAGGGAAGAATGGAATAAGACGGAAATGTAGGAGGAAGTAGTGGGGAGATAAAAGTAATGAAAGTAGAGGTAAAAATAGAGAGACAAAAAGGTATAAAAGTAAGAGGAATGGATGAAATATAAGGAAGTATAAAACAAGAGGGAGAAGCCTCAAAGTCACATTTGGTATGATTGCGCTGTAACCAATTCATACCAAGGATGAGGTTAAAAGCTTGACTCGGCACCACCTACAATGACTGCAACTCAAGTTCAAGATCGCCCACACGCATAACTAAATCCGCCTCATCCCGAGCATATGCATGTGTATGGCCATTGCCATAAAGAATGAAAACTGGCTCCATCGCATGATGCAAGTGTAAATGGCAACGTGTGGCAATAGGTCGAGCAATAGAAGATAAACTCAAATTTGTATCAACCAATATGGAGAGAATAATATAAGACCTCTTATTATAAAAATGAGTTTGGAAAGACATTAAATGAACTAGTGCTAAATGAACCCCTTGATGATACTCCCGAAAGAAAGATGGAGGGATCACTAACTTATTCACACAAGGTCCCTCTATTACTCGCGTGACTCCTTATTTCTCGAAT